GGAACATGGTGATGCTGCTCATGCGGGTGTGCAGGTTGATCATGCTGCTGATGATGATGGTGATGATGGCGATACTGCCGATGTCGACAATGCTGTACGTGTGATTGTTGCGGAAGTGATGCGAACGCGCAGGGGAATGATCAAGACTAATAACATGATGTTGATGTTGATGCGGATGCTCATGCTGCTGCTGGTGATGACGATTATGATGAAGATGTTGATGCTGATGCTGATTATGATGCTGATGCTGATGCTGATGTCGATGCTGGTGCTCATGCTGTTGCTGCTGCTGTTGCTGATGATGGTGATGACGATGCTGCTGCTGCTGCTGCTGATGATGATGATGATGATGAGGATGCAGATGATGAGGATGATGACGATGATGGTGATGGCAATGATGATGACCAAGCTGATGCTGATGCTGATTATTATGCTGCTGTTGATGCTGATGATGCCTATACTGATGCTGCTGAAGGCGAGGATGTACTGCTGGTAGCTACACGTGTGATAATCATGATGGTGGCGACGATGCCGATGACGGATTACGATGATGAGGCTGCTGCTGCTGATGATGCTGGTGATGCAGATGATGCTGCTGCTGCTGCTGCTGCTGATGATGATGATGATGATGATGATGATGATGATGCTGGTGACGATGATTGCGATGATACCGATGACGCTGAAAAAGATACGATGGCGATGATGATGGGATACTTGATTATGTAGCACCCCGCAGTTGCGGATAAGAATGAGGGTCCGGGGCGGGGCTGGGGTCGCGGGTTGGTCGCGGGCGGGTCGCGGGTGGGTCGCGGGGTGGGTCGCGGGTGGGTTGCGTGTGGGTCGCGGGTGGGTCGCGGGCGGGTCGCGGGTGGGTCGCGGGCTGGGTTGCGAGTGGGACGACGACAAGAAGAACAATCATTTTCAGATTGTTCGTTCCTATTGGCTCGCGTGTCAGTCAACATGAATATCCGAAACCCTGGATACCCGCCCTCTTTGCCTTCGACCGTATCCCTCTTGGGGGTATACAGTCAACCATGATAGTAAGGATGGGCAGCCTTCCCAAGGGTACCCTTGCATCCTTGCCTCCTCGGTCCATCCTTGGCCATTTTCGTTGGCCGCGCCCCGCTCGAAAAGCTTCGAAATGGGCGTCCAAGGCCCCTGCATCCTTATCCTGCATCCTTGCTATAATGGTTGACTGTATCTTTCTTACCTGCCGCGTGTAGTTGGCGCAGCCCCTAGGAGAGGGAAGGCAAGGGGGGAGGGAAGAGGCAAGGGCGAGGGAGAAGGAGGGAGCACGAGGAAGATTTGCAGGAGGGGGGCCCTAAGGAGAAGGAGTGCAGGCGGCAGGGCCAAACGGGCGGGTCGGGCGGGCGGACCCTGACGGGCAGGGCAGGGCGGGCGGGCCCAGACAGCCGGGTCCAGCGGGCGGGTTGCTGAAGCGTCAACCCAACAGGAGTCGCAAGGACGTTTCGAGCGATAGCGCGTTTCCCAATGAATCGTGAGGGAATCCCAAGCAAGAGCGTGATTCCTGAGTGTTGGGGGACACGGCGCCGCAGGAAATTGCGGGGAATGACCACGCGAAGGCGCGATTTCTTCATACATCTGGAGGAAGTTCCGCACGAGAGCGCGATTTTGACATAGATTGTGAGGAAGTATCAGGTGGGAGCCGTTGTTGTTGTATATTGATTTTGAGAGAATGATTATTGCTGATCTCCGGGAGCGGTTCCGCGCGCTCTCGCCTCGACGCCGGCTACACGTTCTCTGAAAACGAGGCTCCCGCGCGAGCGTTGGCTGGAGCCTACAGGTGGGCCCTTGGAGGCCCGGCTACGACGACAACGGCTCCCGCTCGATTCTTCCTCCCATGTTACTCCGAAACACTCTGGCCAAGGAGGCCCCCGAACTCAGGAACGGCGATCTCGCTCGAGACGTCCTCGCACTTCAGTCAAGTTGGCGGAAGCCCAGCTACGGACGACGAGGTCTCCTGCTCGATACTTCCTCACGATTTACTCCGAGAGCTCCTGACCAGGAAGGCCCCCGAACTCAGGAACGGCGCTTTCGCTCGAGACTCTCGCACGATTCAGTCAAATTGGTGCAGGCCCAACTACGACGACAATGGCTCCCGTTCGATACTTCCTCAAGACGTATTCGCAGAGGCCCTTGCCAAAGGCCCCCGAGACCAGGAGTGGCGCTCTTGCTCGAGACTTTCTCGTCTTTCAGGCAAGTTGGTTGAGGCCCAGACGGCGACAAGGGTTCCCGTTCGATATTCTCAGTATGTATTCCGGGTGACCCTGGCCAGAGAGGCCCCCGAACTCAGGAACGGCGCTCTCGCTGGAGAGTTCCTCGCATGTCAGTCAGTGGCAGACTAGGAAAATATTTCCCGCGAAAGGGGGTGCGATAGAAGACGCAGTCGGCGGGTATCGAGGGTTAGGGTATACAGAGTGCAAGACACGAATGCCAGTAAGAGCGAACAGTCTTAATCTGATTGCTGTTGTTGTTGTTG